TAGAGCCACTCCATTAGCATCATCCATAATTCCATTGAGAACCACATTCTCCAAACAGATGGTTGCGAGTTTCATCAGTTGTCTTACACAATGCACATATTGTGTTCACTATGATTCTCCATTGCACTAGTCTATCCACTGTTAGTAGCTATCCATGACATTGGAGCCACATGGAAAACACAACTTTGGGTCTTGCCTCATTGTGAAACATCAAGCCTCTCCATACCACTCTATTATGGTTCCCTAACAACTACAAGTATATCTATGTAATCAAGCTTTTCTTCTGATTCGGATTGTGTATTTGCTATTCCTTGACCCTTGCTGCCATTATCTTTCTCACCATCCAACTTGCTTGTTGTGGAATAATATTTATGAGTCTAACATTTCAATGTATGATGATAGCTCTCTTTTTACATTAATCTGGCACTCTCTAAGTGTCCAACTACGTAGTAACAACTCTCATACATATGTAAAATACATCAACTAACATATGTGGATGATATGTGTGAATAAAACATGTAAAAATGCGCGAACATGCACAAAGGATCACTTGAATGGCCAAGCTTCCACCTTTATGCTCAAAACGTCATCACATAGGAACCTACATCACAATCAACCAGAAACTCCTCAGTTCCTCACATCCCGCGTGCATGCCATCAAGAGCGAAACATGAGAGGTCAACCCTAGGGGATGAATCTATATCCACAAACTGCATGTCAAAAACCTCATGCCATCACAATAACAATATCATCAGCTCTGCACGGCAAAGATCTCGTGCCATTTCCAAATCAATTTGTTCAATATTTACAAGTTGCGTGAACGCTATCAAGAGAGAAATATGAGAGGGCAACCTTAGAGGGATGTATCTTTATCTACATGCTGCACGGACAACTCACGTTCCATAATCGTATCAACCGCATGACAAAGACCTTATTCCAAATCAATATCACATTACAATCTGTACGGCAAAGACCCTGTGCCAAAATAATATCACATCACAATCCACACGGCAAAGACCACGTGCCAAAATAGTATCATACCACAGTCCGCGTGGCAAAGACCTCGTGCCAAATCAATTACAATATGACAATATTCGTACGACAGAAATCTCGTGCCAAATCAATAACAATAAGACAATCTCTGCATGGCAGAAACCTTGTGCCAAATCAATAACAATAACTCAATATCTGCATGGCAAAGACCTCGTGCCAAAGCCTTAGTCCATATCCGAGAATCACATGCAGTGATGTATACATATGAATAAAAGTTAAGCATATATAATACACATGGACAGAGAAATAACCATGCATGGATGTATGCATGTATACAAGGGATAATCCCTAGGTAGTATGTACGCCTATATATACGTATGAATACCGACTCAACATAAAATACATCATCAAAATAATCATCATACCCAATTAAGCATCAAAAGCCATTTCATAGTCTTTAACGTAGGTAAGGAAACTCAAGTACTCATACATCAATTTAAGGTGTAACATCAGAAGAACAAGTATGGATGTGTGTTCATAATATACGCGTGACTATGTCTAAAGCAAGTATAAAAACAATCTCAAGAATAACTCTTCATTCTCAAAATAAGGTATCATTTGCTTCAACATTAATTCTAGTGTGGTTTATTGTGCTCACATAGTCAATCGATTGGGTAAAATATAGAATCAAGAAGAACATACAACCAAACAAAGCATAAAGTAATCTAGAATCTACCTTGAACATGAATGCCCATGTCACATACATATACACTCGTCACCTCATATATACATCACCCCCGCATGTGATGTGCCGTAGAAATGCGCACTTTCGATACTAATTTTATAGACTTTAGCTTATCTTTTATAGCATTTTGAGTCATTTCTTATGTAATTTTGTTGTTTTGTAGGAAATCGGACTTGAAGAGCCAAGAACATGAAAAAGATGTCAAAACTATGAAGAAGGCAGATTTGTGAAGGATATGCGACTGCAAAATAGATGTGCGAATCGCATTTCTGTCACAAATGTAACTAGGCCAGCCCAGTTTTAAGAGTTAAATATGCGGTCCGGTATGCAGTTGCATAACCATTTTGCAGACCATAGAATGGTCGCACAAAACCAAGAGAAATTCCCAGTGATCCAAAGTGATGATTATGCGATTCATTATATGAGCGTGAAATCAGTATGCAGACCCCATAACTGATATGCGATGGAAATCTGGAAAATTGCATTCACAGTCGATTCTGCGATCGCGAACTCTCCTGAAGGGCTAATTTTGTCACATTTTGTCCGTAACTTTTGGGCCATTATAAATAGAATAACTAGGGTTTTTGTAGACATCTTGTTTGAAAAAGGTCCTACATTGAGAGCATTGAATACTACACTTGTTTTGGAGCTTTTTGGATAGATTTCGACAATTTGTCTTCATTGTAAGCTTTCATGACTTTCTTTAATGCTTTGTTATTATATTTTAGTATGAGTAACTAACTTTAAATACTAAGGTTGTGGATCCAAAGTGGGTGTAATATTAATGGATGTTTACCATTGAATATATATATATATATATATATATATATATATATATAATGAGTTGTTGATTTCTATTCATTTCTTATGCTTCATTTATGGTTGGTGGTTGAAAACATTATCTAGTGCCAATCTACTTTATATTTCACTTGGAAAAGTGGGTTAGGATTTGGTATAAGTGAATAGCAAGAACTCGAGACTTTAAACCTCATTTAATAGAATCATTTAGGAATAAGTGGGTTCTACTTGGCATATATTAGTTGCTCTTAATTGTAACTCTCTTATATTTGGGAAAAGTATAAAGAGGAAATACTACCTACCTATTGGAGAATATTGGGTAGTCATTTAGGAACCATTTGCATATCAAAGGACTTTTCATTAGAAATATATTATATTAACACTGATAGCATTATATTCCGTAGAAAGGGACACAACCTTGGTTTCTTAATCCAGTTAATCAATTCTCTTAACAAAATAGCTTTTCTTAACAATTCACAATCATAAAATCTTTCCAAACTAACGGAGTAGAATCACGACCTTAGTCAAGTAAAAACTACTCAAGTAATCTTTTCATGCCTATTCCCTATGGGATTCGACCCCAACCTTGTTGGGCTATTATATTTGACATCGACTGCCTTACATCATTTATATAGGTGTAATTTGAGAGTATCAAATTTTGGCGCTGTTGCCGGAGAATATGGTTTTGAAATTACTAACTAGTGTGTGCTTTACGGTACGTCTTTTTCTATACCATCACACTTTGCTTGTTTTGCTTGTTGTGACTAGGCAAGCATGGGTGAGCCAGAGAATGTGTTTACGGATACGGATGAGTACATTGATGATTCAAATGCTATTTTCCCTCCTAGAGTTGACGCGACTACCTTTAAAGTGGAATACAGTCTAATCCTAATGCTAAAGGCGGAGGGGTTCTTACAAAATTTCACCGACGATGATCCAACACAATACCTCAAAATCATTTTGGGTGTGGGTGCAATGCATAAGCAGAATCATATTTCGGATGATGCCCTAAGGTTGAGGTTGTTCAAATATTCTTTAGCCGGAGAGGCATGCAATTGATTCACAGTCTACCTCCTAACTCCATCCACACTTAGGCTGAACGTGTGTATGTTTTCCTAGGAAAATGGTTCCTACAAAGCAAGAAATCCAAACTTCGGGAAAATTTTTTATTTTTCAAGCAATTACTGGGGGAACAACTACATGAAGCATAGGATAGATTCAAGAAGTATTTTGTGAGATCACCAAATCACGGGCTTTCGGAAAATATTTTGTTGGAGAAGTCTTACACGAGTTTGGATCCTATGAGTCAATTCGTAGCCAACAATGCAGCTAATGGATTGTTCATGGACAAAACATTTGCAAGAGTAACTCAAATCCTCTACAAGGTAGTTGAACACAACCAAGCTTGGCATTTGGGCGATACCTCGGGTGGAGTCTCATATGGTACCCCTTCTTTGACCAACATAGTCAAAGAAAATCAAGAAAGAGATCAATTGATTGTTGGGCTTTCTAAAAATGTCAATGTTTTGAAAAAGAATGTTTATGAAAAGCCAAGTGAATGTTGTGGAAGAAGTACAACGAATGTCAAATGCCAATTATCAATATCAAGAAGGCCAACATCAAGATTATCCTCCCATGCAATATGAAGAAGAAAACTATGTTAACAATTCACAAGGAGGATATAAAAGACAAAACTACCAAGGTTCGTAACAACAACATCAATGGGGACCTAACCCACAAGGTCAAGGTAACCAACAATGGCGAAATGACCAAGGTAGTTCAATCAATGGAATTGGAGCAATAACAACAACTTTGCTAATCGGAGTTCAAACCCCTATGTTCCACCAAAAGGCCAATACTCTAACTCTCAAAATTGGAGGGAAAGTTCTTAAAGCGTCCAAAGTAATTTCAAGTTAGAGAACATGCTTGAGAGAGTATTGCAAAATCAAGAGAGCTCCGACTCTTCAATGAAAAACATGACCGAACTTGTGGGTTCTCATACCACATCTATTCAAAAGTTGGAGTTGCATATGCTAGACCTTTCAAAAAAGCCAAACCTAAAACAAAAAAGGCACACTCCCAAGTGATACAATTGCGAACCCAAAGGGTAGTGGGAGTGTCCCAACCTCTCATTATATGGCCATTACAACTCGAAGTGGGAAACTACTTCAAAGTGAGAGTGAACGGGTGGTCGAAGTGGAAGATGTTGAATAAGAAGATGAGGCACAAGTTGAGTTGCCTAATGTTGTTGAAGTTGAGAGAATTCTGAAAAAGGTGAAGTCTCGAGATGTGAGTCATGAAAAGGTTGAGAAAAAAGTAATAGAGGCACCAAAAACTCTAGTGCTGATTCCTAGACCTCCTCCATTTTCTGAAAGACTAGCCAAAAGATTTGATGATAGAAAATTCGAGAAGTTCTATGAAATCAATTATTTTCAAACATTCCGTTTGTGGAAGCTTTTCAAGATATGCCCGGTTTTGCTAAATACTTGAAGGATTTGATTACGAAATATAAGAATATCAAGAATGAAATGGTGAGTGTCACCCACCGGATTAAGTCTATCATTCCAACAACTGCCATCCAAAAGAAGGAGGATTCAGGGGCTTTCACCATTCCATGCACCATCGGATTGCGTGAGTTTGCACGAGCTCTTTGTGATAATGGGGCTAGTATCAACTTAATTCCTCTTTTTATCTATAATCAAGTGGTATAGGGAATGCCTAGGCCTACGATTATGATGTTGTAAATGGCCGACCATCCGGTGAAGCGACCAGTGGGGATAGTGGATAATGTGCTTGTGAAAGTGGGGTTGATAAAGATATTCCTATCATCTTAGGGAGATCATTCCTTGCAACCAAGAGAGACCTCATTGACTCGGAAAGAAATGAGATTAAATTCTGGGTTAATGATGAAGAAGTTACCTTTCAAGCAAGTAAGGGCATGAAATTGTCAAATGTATACGAGAGTATCTTGGTACTTGATGCTATTGATGTGGTAGAAGATGCCGTTGAGGTAAAGATGGAAGAGGAATGCCTCGGTGAAGCATTGGCGCAATCTTGATGAATTTTGATGGTGAGGACATAGAAGGATATGTGGAGACGGTGAATGCATTGGAAGGGTTTGGTTCATACACTTATGAACCGAAGAAGCTTTCTCTTGACTTGGAAAATAGAGTTACTCCTCCTGCCAAGCCTTCAATCGTTGAACAGCCCCAATTTGAACTCAAGCCACTACCATTACACCTAAGATATAAATTTCTTGGCTCTAATGAAACTCTACCCATAATTGTTTTCTCTTTGTTAAATGATGTGCAGGTTGAACAATTATTGGAGATCTTGAGGAAGCATAGACGACCCATTGGTTGGACAATAGTGGATATCCGAGGGATTCCTGCCGGTATTTGTGAGCACAAAATCCAACTCGAGGAAGATAGTAAACCTAGTGTGGAACATCAAAGGAGGTTGATTCCCTCTATGCAAGAAGTGATAAAGAAGGAAATTATAAAACGGTTGGACGCCGGGGTTGTTTACTCCGTTGTGGATAGTCCTTGGGTGAGTCTGGTGCAATGTGTGCCAAAGAAGGGAGGCATGACCGTGATTCAAAATTACAAAAATGAACTCATTCCAATAAGGACGGTGACTAGGTGGAGAGTATGCATCGACTATCGAAAGCTCAATAGTGCCACTTGAAAGGACCATTTCCCTATGCCTTTTATTGATCAAATGCTCGATCGACTATCGGGAAGGTCATTTTATTGCTTCCTTGACGGTTAATCCATCTACAACCAAATTAACATAGCCTTGGAGAACCAAGAGAAGACGACATTCACATGTCTTGATGGGACCTTTGCTTTTAGCCGGATGCCATCTGGGCTATACAATGCTCTGACTACCTTTCAACGGTGCTTGATGTCATTTTTCTCGGACATGGTGGAGGATTTCTTGGAGGTATTCATGGATGACTTCTCCATAGATGGTGATTCCTTTGAATATTGCCTTGATAATCTTAGGCAACTACTCAAAAGATACGAAGAGACCAACCTTGTGCTCAATTAGGAAAAATATCACTTCATGATTGACGAAGGTATTGTTCTTGGACACAAAATCTCCTAGCAAAACATTGAGGTTGATCGAGAAAAAAATTAAAGTCATTTCAAATCTTCCTCCTCCCACTTCGGTCAAAGGTGTTCGGAGCTTTTAGGGGCATGCCAATTTCTATTGATGATTTATCAAAGACTTCTCAAAGATTGTGAGCCCCGTGTGCAGCCTCCTTTGAAAGGATGCTAAATTTGTGTTTGATGAGAAGTGCCACAAAGCTTTTGAGGAATTGAAAGCAAGCCTCACCATGGGCCTATTATTGCCATAACCTGTTGGTCTCTTCCATTTGAAATCATGTGTGATACCAGTGGTGTGGCTATTGGGGCAGTTCTTGGTCAAAGGCACAACAAGATTCTTCACCCTGTCTACTATGCAAGCAAGACACTCAATGGCACGCAAATGAATTACACCATGACTGAGCAATAACTGCTTGCCATTGTCTATGCTTTTGAAATATTCCGGGCCTATTTGTTTGGATCCAATGTGATAGTTTTTATCGATCATGCTGCTCTCCGCTATCTTATGTCAAAGAAGGATGTCAAATCAAGATTGATTAGGTGGGTCCTTTTGTTACAAGAATTTGAGTTTGAAGTCAAAGATCGGAAAAGAACGGAAAATCAAGTCGTGGACCACTTATATAGGCTTGAAAAGGCAGGGAGATCTTGAAATCAATGCTGCCCTCCTTGATGAATGACTTTTGGCAATATCTAGCACTTCAACTCCTTGATATACCAATATTTAGTTTCCTTATCCCTGGCGAATTGGAAGCTTATCAAAAGAAAACGTTCTTGAGAGATTCTAGGAAATAATATTAGGAATAACCCTTTTTATTCCGAATATGCACTGACAACATCATTCGGCATTGTGTTCCGAAAGACGAGGTGACGCCGATTCTCAAAGCATGTCATGACTCTCTGGTTGGGGGCAACCACGGTGGAAACCATACGACGGGAAAAGTGCTTGAACACGGCTACTATTGGCCATCGATATAACAAGATGCAAATCTAATGGTCAAGGCGTGTGATCAATGTCAAAGACAGGGGTCGATTTCTAGAAGGCATGAGATGCTTATGAATTTTGTGATGGAGGTAGAGATCTTTGATGTGTGGGGGATCGATTTCATGGGTCCTTTGTGAGCTCATACGACATGACGTATATCTTGGTAGCAGTGGACGATGTCTCAAAATAGGTCGAAAAAATTGCCTTGCCAAACAATGAGGCAAGGAGTGTAACCGTCTTCTTGAAGAAGAACATGTTTGGAACCCCAAGGGCCATCCTTAGTGATGGTGGTTCTCACTTTTGCAACAAAGCCTTTGCGGGGTTGCTCGAGAACTATAGAGTTAAGCAAAAGGTGGCCACCCCTTATCATCCTCAATCAAGTGGTCAAGTTGAAGTCTCCAACTGAGAAATGAAGAATATTCTAGCAAATACTGTTAATGCAAACATGATCGATTGGTCAAGAAATCTAGATGACGTTCTGTGGGCTTATCAGACCGCATTCAAAACACCCATTAGAACTCCGCCTTGCCGGTTGGTTTTTGGTAAGGCATGTCACTTGCTAGTGGAGCTAGAACACAAAGCCATGTGGGTGTTGAAAAAGTTAAGTCTTGACTGGGCTGACACTGCTAATCTAAGGATGACACAAATTAATGAGGTGGATGAATTCTGTTTCCAAGCCTATGAAAATGCAGCCATGTATAAAGAATGAATGAAGTTTGTTCATGATAAGAAGATCTTGAAGCGTGAATTAAAATCCGACGACTTGGTCTTACTCTTCAACTCAAGGTTGAATTTCTTTCCAGGAAAACTCAAGTCCAAATGGTCTGGCCTATTCAAATTTGTTAGTGTATCTCCTTATGACGCCATTGAATTAGAGTCCGAGGATGTGACTCGAACCTTCAAAGTAAATGGCCAAAGGGTGGAGCACTACCTCAGTACCATTGGAGAAAGGCAATTGGTGGAATGATTCAAACTCAGAGATGGTCTTGCACCAACATCCACAACTGATTCGCCATAAAAGGGTAACATCATCATGTCGCGATGTTAAATCAAGCGCTTCTTGGGAGGCAACCCATGTGTTAGAAATGTTTGTTGTTAGATTTTTGTTTTGTAGGTTTGTTTATTTTTGTTGAACCTTTTGATATGTGTTTTAGAGTGTAGGGAACTCATAACGAAACTAAGTGGGATGAAGAAGTGCAGGGAAAATTGCTGAGCTTCAGTTGATTTTCTGCGGCCAAAAATACAACCACATAATGGTTTCGCGGACCGCATATTGATTGCATAAATGGTCAGACGTTCCTAAAAATAAGTTGCTTAAAAATACGGTGGAATGGCAACTTTGCGGGCCGCATAACGATTCTGTGACCGCACATTGATAAAGTACATCATAAGTAATGGTTCATCACATAATTCTTCTGCGATCGCGAATGCTGTTTCGCGATGGTAACCGAACCGCAGAATGCTCAAGCATTAAAACTTCATCCCCTCTGTCACTTACCCACTTCCGACTCCCCCACTCTAAGTCTGAACAAAGAAAAAATAAAAACAAAAGCTTGAACATAAAATACCAGCCACAGAGGAACATTGATCCAGCATTGATTAATCATCTAATCCTTCACTCACCTCAACGAATCTGGTAATACCTTCTACCCCTCTTGTTATCTTAATTAAATTTGTAGAAACCTCTCCCATCCTTCATGATCCCCATTCTCCCTACCCTTTCCTTGTGATTTACTGAGAACCCCTCGCTAGGGTTTCTTCTATGTACTGTCGTGTGATGGGTGATCAGTGAGAGGCAATTTCTAGTCAAACTCGTGGGGATAGGGCTAGGGTTACTGGGTTGTGATATTTGTTGTAGTGATTCTTGATAATGCACATTAGGTATTCGTGGGTTGAACTTGAGTTTGATCAAATGCTGGTTGTTGTGTGTAAATTTTATGAAATCCCGTAGTATCTATGTAGTATAGAGTAGAATTAATGTCCAACAGTTACATGCGCATTGTATCTCAGTGAAGAAGATGAATTTTGAGGCACCGCATAACCGATTCACGGTCCACAGAATCGTTGCATATCTGAGACAAATTGTATGCTTGTGGGGTGGTGACTCTACGATCGCGAAATTGATATGCGGGCCGTGAATGCATCACAGAAATCAACAGGTGCAATAGAATTTTGAAGTTGAATCTGCGTTCATTCTGTGGTTGAAGTTTAGTTCTGCGACCACATATGCGGTCCGCATAATTTGTTGACCATAGCCTTGTTTATTCTGCGGTGCAGTTCGCGGTCCACATATTTATTCTGCGATTTCATATGGTGTTTGCAGAATGAGTTTTCCCCATCATTTCTTTTCCATTTACTATGAATGTTTCTACCATATGCTCACTTCACTTTTATTGACAGGAGTGCCACTAAAGAAAACCCAAGCATCTACAACACCCATCACAAGAGGAAAGAGACAGGCTAGAGCTATAGGTCCAACATCACAACAGCCCCAATGCAAAAAGCCTGGCAGGTATATTACTTCATCTGAGTCAGTCTCCTAGTCTAAATAGGAGAGGGCACAACTTGAACCAATGCCACCAGTTGATCCCCGCGCATAAGTACGAAGAAAGAATGCAGAGGATACACTTAGGTTTAGCATCGTTGGATACTGGAGTAAATACAAAGAGGCATTAAAGAAAGGAATATCCTCGAAGAAAAGCAGCTAAGTGTGAATGGACTTTAAGATAACTTCCCGCATGTACTAGACAACATCAAGAATAGGAGATGGGAGTTCTTCACTGAGCCTCTGGGGGAATTCAATGAGACAATTGTCAAGGAATTCTATGTTGTATATGCTGCCTCAATGACTAAGAAGCAAGTGAGGCGCCGTGCTTACTTGACCTCCGTCACAATCAGAGGAATTGTGGTATCTTGTGGCCCCAAATCGATAAATGAAGTCTATTTCGAGAGTTGGGAAGGAGG